TTTTATTGAGATTTCTTCACCTATCTATAGCTGAGAAAGATATCTCCTTTCCTTTATCTTCAATTTATTCGTAATGTGACTTTTTATGTTTGTCATGTTTTCACTTGGACCTTAATGTGATATGTAGTGTATAACGTTGGCCTAACCCTATTTTTTTTGCCAGATTGCTTTCCGATTTTGTCCAATAGTGAATCCTTACCCCAGTAAGTAGGGTCTTTGGGTTTATTGATTGGATTTTACTTCTATATTTGTTTGCTTCCATGTGTTGTATACCTAATCTTTTTCACTGACCAACTTTAAAATTTTTTTTAACCGAATATTTTTGATTATTGCTTTTATAGTATAATTTGAGATCTGATACTGCTCTTTTCATCCCAATTTTTTTATCATTATTATTTCCCTTGAGATTCTTGAACTGTTTCTGAGTTTTGTTTTTAACTCTTTAAAATAACCCTTTGGTAGTTTGGTATGGCACTAAAGAAGTAAATTCAGATAGTATTATCATTTTTGTTATATTAACATAATCTAAATATGAACAATTAATATCTCTGATTTCTTAAGTCTTTTTTTCTCATTTTACTTTTTTTTAGCTTTTTGGTGAGGCAGTTGGGGTTAAGTGACTTGCCCAGGGTCATTCAGCTAGGAAGTGTCAAGTGTCTGAGGCCAGATTTGAACTCAGGTCCTCCTGTCTCCAGGGCCGGTGCTTTATCCACTGTACCACCTAGCCATTCCAGTCTTGTTTTTCTCTAAAGAGTGTTTGTAGTTGTAGTCATATATTTTTCCTGTGCCTTTTGGTAGGTAGATTGGTAATTATTTTGCATCTTTTGAAGTTACTTTGAATGGCATTTCTCTTTTTATCTCTTCCTATTGGGTTTTATTGGTAATACACAAAAAGTTGATAATTTATGTAGATTAATTTTATAGCCCTTTTTTGCTGGAGTTATTGTTTCCATTAATTTTTTATTTTTTTCTTTTTTAATTAATTATTTATTAATTAATTTATTTTAGTTTTCAACATTCACTTCCACAAGATTTTGAATTCCATATTTACTCCCCATCTCTCTCCTCCTCCCACCCCAAGATGGTGTGCATTCTAACTACACCTTCCCCTAATTTGCCCTCCCTTCTATTACCCCCACTTCTCTTAGCCTCTTCCCCTTCTGTTTTCCTATAGGGAAGGATAGATTTCTATACCCCATTGCCTGTATATCTTATTTTTCAGTTGCATGTAAAGACAATTTTTAACATTTGTTTTTAAAACTTTGAGTTCCAAATTCTCTTCCTCCTTCCCTCCCCACCCACCCTCATTGAGAAGGCAAGCAGTTTGATATAGTTATACATGTGTAGTCACACAAAACACTTCCATAAATCATGTTGTGAAAGACTAACTATATTTACCTCTGTCCTATCCTGTTTATTCTCTCCTTTGACCCTGTCCATCCTCAAAAGTGTTTGTTTCTGATTACCTCCTCCCCCAATCTGCCCTCCCTTCTATCATTCACCCCTCTCCTATCCCCTCCCCCCCCATTTTCCTGTAGGGTAAGATAGATTTCCAAACCCAATTGAGTGTGTATGTTATTCCCTCCTTAAGCCAAATCTGTTAAGAGTAAGATTCACTCATTCCCTCTCACCTTCCCACTCTTCACCTCCATTGTAAAAGCTTTTTTTTTTTTGCCTCTTTTATGTGAGATAATTTACCCCATTCTACCTCTCCCTTTCTCCTTCTCCCATTACAATCCTCTCTCACCCCTCAATTTTATTTTTTAGATACCATCCCTTCATATTTAACTCACCCTGTGCCCTGTCTCTCTCTCTCTCTCTCTCTCTATATATATATATACATATATACATGTACACATACACACACACACACACACACACACACACATATATATATTCCCTCCAACTACCCTAATAATGAGAAAGGTCTCATGAGTTACAAATATAATTTTTCCATGTAGGAATGTAAACAGTTCAACTTTGATTTCTCTTTCCTGTTTACCTTTTCATGCTTCTCTTGAGTCTTATATTAGAAAGTCAGATTTTCTATTCAGTTCTGATCTTTTCATCAGGAATGCTAGAAAGTCCTGTATTTCACTGAATAATCATTTTCTCCCCTAAAGGATTATACTTAGTTTTGCTGGGTAGGTGATTCTTGGTTGTAATCCTAGTTCCTTTGACCGACAGAATATCATATTCCAAGCCCTCCGATCCTTTAATATAGAAGCTGCTAAGTTTTGTGTTATTCTGACGGTGTTTCCACAATACTTGAATTGTTTGTTTCTGGCTGCTTGCAATATTTTCTCCTCGACCTGTAAGTTTTTAGTTTTTCTTTAGGTTTTCTTTAGGTTTCTTTATGTGGACCATCATATCATCTGCAAAGACCATTAATTTTGTTTCTTCCTTGCTTATGCTTATTCCCTTAATTTATTTTTCTTGTCTCCTTGCCATAGCTAGCATTTCTGGTATATTCAAATAATAGTGTTGATAATGAACATTTTTACTTTCTCATTGGAAAGCCTTCTAGCATTTCTTCATTACATATAATGCTGACTCTTAGCTCTAGGTAGGTATATTTACCATATTCAAAAAAAGTTCATTTATATTCTTGTTTTTTAGTGTGTTTTTTTAAACAGAAATGAGTATTGTATTTTTTTTAATTTTTTCTACATCTATTAGTATAATCTTGTGATTTTTAAAGTTATTATGACTCATCATATGTTTTTCTAATATTGAGCCAAACGTGCATTCCTGGTATAATCCATCAGTGTCATAGTGTATAATCTTTTTAATATTTGCTTTAGCCACACAGGGCTATGTTCAAAGCTTTTCCATCTTGGTCGAACTTACTAGAGCTTATTCTCTATTTCTATCAGTCAACTAGCATTTATTAAGTACCCATTATGTGCCAGGCACAAGTAAAAGGCAAGAAACAAATAGCCCATGCTCTCAGAGCTTACAGTCTAATGGAGGTGACAACATACAGACAAGAAAGAACAAACATTACAGGATGTCTACAAGATAAATTGGGGTTTGTCTCACAGGTGAGGCAACAAGAATTAGGAGGACTAGGAAAGTCTTCCTGCAGAAGGTGGGACTTTAGCTGAGACTGAAGGAAATCTGGGAAGTCAGGAGGTGGAGGTGAGGAGGCAGAGGAAAATGCTGTCAGGAGATGGAGTGTTTTGGGTGATGAATAGCGAGGGGGCCAGTGTCACTGGATCTCAGTCTCTATAAATTACTAAATTTGAATCCTTTAAAAAGTGATGCATTGAGCTAGAGTTCTTTTTATTTTTCTGTATCTCTGTTCCTTAATAATTTTCATTGCCATTTGCAATGTTCTCTTAAAATTACCTTCATAGTATTGAGGAATACAAGACTGAATGAAGTAGTGTTTCTAGTGTGATCTCATTAGAGAATCAAACTTTTACCTCTCTGTGCTCTGATGCCTTTTCTTGTCTGATTTATAATTTTCACTGGTGAGAAAGGGATGCTGCTGCATGGCTTCAAATACTAAATAGCTAAGAATGAGGAGCCAGAAGTTCTAATCTCAATTTTGCTAACTCTTGTGAACCAGGGAAGTCACTTAAACATCAAATACTGCTGTTAGATTCAAGCCCCTTTGCCTTCCTTCCCACCCTCTTACATATATCAGAGGCAGGTCTAAGTTTAACCCATTTCTAGAGGGACCCCCTGAAATAAGATCCAATTCTGGGTCTGATCTGGAGGATGTTTCTAGGTGAGCTAGGGACTCATTCAAATTTCTGAATTTATTTTAGAGCAGATATGAATCCTTAAACCATCCTGTGAATGCTGCAGCACCCTAAGAGGGCGTGTAAGCCGCAGAGGTCCAGGACTGGAATTGGTTTTCCAAAAAACACTCTGGACAAAAAGGAATTGTTTATTTTTGCCCCCTTACCTTAGGGGCTCCTTCCCTAAGGTATGGTAAAAGAGGAGCTAAAACTATGAGCATTGGGATAAGATGACGTGCTCATAGATACCTTGCTTATCTTATATTTTCTTGATTTTCTTGTCCATCTTCAGCATCAGCTTTCCTTAGTTATAAATTAAGACTTTCTATCCCATAAGATTTAGACATCTATGGCAACAAATTCATATTACCAGCGCCTTTCTTCCAAAATACTCCAATATAAGTTTTCCAAAACATAGTGAGTGTTTTTCAGTCTGATTAATACTTTCCTAGAACATGGCTTATAAGGCATTCAATATTTGCTGGTATATAGATTTTTAATGAATTAGAATTGAGAGAACCATTCTGTCTCCTTTCTAGTTCTCACTCTGCTAACTTACCTATAATCAGTATTAGTAGGATAGGTATAAATATGAATTCTTATGTGACTTCATTTATTGGTATTTTTGTAGATAGCATGTTTTATTTTCCCTTGCTTAGCTCTTGAAGGGAAAGTATGTGTATTAGAATGTTGATTAAAACACTCAAATGAATTATATTGGCTATTATGTATCTTAAAGCTTATCACTGACTACAGTGACCCTGAGCTGTCAAATAAAGGGAGAAGAGAGTAAGTATTTATATAGCATCTACTCTGTGCCAGACACTCTGCTAAATGCTTTTACAAATATTGTCTCATTCATCTGAAATCTGTTAAAAAACCGACAACTCCCCAAATTTATCTTTGACCAAGATGGACCAATACTGCTAAAATTTTAGAGACATATGAATAATCGAGAATGGTTTATTTTTGAAACAAGTATAGAATTAGAGCTGTTAGTGTCCTTTTAATGCCTAATAATTATAAATATTGGTATGTAATTTGATTTATGTAGTGTACACAAACCTAAAGTTAAATTTATGTTTCTCTGTCTCATTTCTTATGCTCATAAAGGGTGTAGTTGGAAGAATTAGGGAATTTAATAGTGTTAAAAGGCTTTGACTATTGCTGAAGTGTTTCTTTAGACTTCTAGGACAGTAGACTTATTATGGTGAGCATAAAATACTAACACCAAACTTACCTTTCCTTCGTTTCCAAAAGCAGAAGCTTCTCAAGAAATACCACCTTCTTTACATGAATCTAAAGAGGTGCTAGTGGACTTTGTACCTCCACTTCAGGGAACAAAGGTTAGACAATTTGGCAGGGTTTTTTTTCTTTATGTAAAAAGCCTTTTGAATAAACTGGAATGCTAACCCAACAGTTATTTTCTTTAATAAGGAAAGTTTGGTTCATTTTTATGAAAGCAGTACATTTCCGCTTTGTTTAATTTGCTTCCAGGTTTTATCTTTTGGACACTGTCAGAATTAAAAAAAAATGGCTATTATAACTTCCCGGTAGTCACAATGTGTGTATGACTTAACACAGCATCTTCTAGAATCTAGACATTTGTATTCTGAATTGAATCGTTAAATTCATTAACATGATGTCTGATTTTGTTGTTTCAGATTGTAGAATTTAAAAAACCACCACCTGTTACACCACCGCCACCTGTTTCATTACCTAAAGAATCTCTTTCTTCTTCCAGAGTAAGCATTTTCATTAGAGGGAAAGGGCTTATTTGTTTTTGTTTGTTTGTTTGTTTATTTTCAAGGGCACTTACAGTCTAGGACTAGAACAGTTGTGAAACACTGCATAATCCTTCTTTGCTTCTAAACAGGATGTTGTAGGCTGAAGTGTAGTCATCCTGTAACCACTACATTTTTGACCTTTTTAAGTAAACTATCCACAAATGCAATCAAGTATCAAACTTAAACATGCTAAGTCTAGAGACTAATTACAATACAGGCACATCCTTATTTTCTTCTGCCAATTAGAAATTATTTCCACATGTGGTGAATCTTACACAGGACCTTTATGTCAAGAAATATTAGGAAAACAACCTAAATCTTGGCATTGAGTTCATTCTGCCTCCCCCTCCCCAATTTTTCAGAGACCTTTAGTGTAAAAGTCACTTGGATACCCTCTCCTTCACCAATGATTAAACTTCCAAATTAGAATAAGAAGTAGGGACCACAGCACAGGACAAACAGTGAAAAAACAACAGAGGCTAGTGATAGGAGCAGAGAGAAGACACAGTAGCAGTCCTTCCCTTGAAGGTCAGTATACTTCTGGGCTGGTGATAGAAACTCTGGACACACATAGAGGGAAAATGTCCAAGTACTGGTAATTCAAGCACATAGATGCCTCAGGTGGTAAGTCTGTTTTGGTATTTTTACAATATAAACTTCCTCAGCCCCACTTCTCCTCCACTCCCCACCTAGCACATAGTAGGTACATAAGTGCTTGTCGATTTATTTATAAGACACACCTTGATACTAGATTGTAAAATCAGAATGGTTTGACATGACTTGACCTAAGGAAATTAACCTGTGACTCTTAGAGCATTCACATTGAAACTATGGCTTAGTTCCAAAGTTATATTATTTTATTTTGATCTATACTCTTCAGGTCAAATCACAAACCTCATCCCAAAGCAGCAAAGCTAATGCAAATGGAGTCTAAGGCCACTTGAAGATAATGCTGTAATCCATTCACCCACTGCATCTCCCTACCTCAGTAGGTAAAGGAACTCCAGGCTGGCTGTCTATATCCTCTTCGGAATAAAGCCATTTCGTCACTGTGGCAGTACTCCTTGAGGTCCTGAAACTTACCCCAGGTGATGTTAGCAGTGAATCTAAGCTCATATTCTTCAGAAAGTCCTTTTCTTCTCTGCCACTATTCATCCCTACTGTAAGTGAACTCCACAAAGTGTAAATGTGTAAAGACACCTGTTTATTATTGACTAAATTGTGTAATGTGTAGCTTTTGCAGTGGTCATGTCTTTGGACATCTGCAATTTGTGCAACACCCCTGAAAGGAAAAATCTTTTGTATAGAAGGCTCCTGCTTTGGTTTTTTATGACCTTAGCCTCCTGTAGCATGGCACCTTAGCTGGGGCCTTTGGAAGTACAGCAACAACTTTACCAGCCTGACCCCTTCTTTCTTAGTCGGACCTTTGATTTGCTAGTGGCTTGATATGCACATTTCCTATCCTTAAATTGAAATGCTGATGCTACTTACTCATGGTCTTTTTGCAAGGGGAGCAAAGCCCTCAAAACCAATTAAGACAGAGGAAAGGGTGCTGCTGAGATGGAGAGAAGTGAAAGCCTCTTAGAGGAGTGAGGAGTTAAAACACATTGGCAGCCAGTAGGGCTTGGCGGAGGAATGGCTGTTCTGTCTGACATCTCCTTTTGGGCCTGCAATGGCTGCAGGATAGGCTGGGAAGGAGCTGCCACTATGCTAGCACATATGGCTTTCATTAGCCATCATTTTGCTAGGAAACATAATTAAGGTTTGTGGCTTAACTGTTTGTTTGGGTTGGGTGTTTTTTTTTTCTCCCTGATCTATTTAAGTCTTTCATAAATCAGACTTTTTTTGTTAGCCGTGGAGGTTGTTTAGGTCTAATTGTCCTTGTCTGTGTTACCCAATAGCAAATATTATGTTCAGATACTTATTTATTATTTAAAAACTTTTTTTAATGGTGACTTCCTTTGCTGGAAGATCGCCACAGAGATGACCAGTAGCTCTCTTAGTTTTAGAGAGGCAGTAGACATTCAGGGATCTGGGAGATGAAAAATGTTACCAGGCTTGCTGGTAACATTTAGTTATTTTTATTTCCTGGAAATTGAAGGCAGTTAGTTGGGTACCATTTAAAAACCAAGTGAAACTTAAATTTTGTTCTTCAGACTGGCTGGGACCACCTAAATGAGTAACTTACATTATTATTTCAAAACTAGAAATAATTTGCACTTTAAACTGGTTCCTCTGACTCTCTTTCAGCAGGGGCTGATCTCCATATTGTACTTCTAATCAACTCTAGTTTTTGAGCATTAAGAATCCCCTGCTGTGCTAATATAACGTTCTATGGAGTTTTGCCATTAGCCTAGCAAGGTGATTCACAATAAACTTTTACATTTCTAAAGTGGTGAGGTGTTCCTTTTTTTTTTTTAAAGTTTACTTAGCTTACATTTTAAAGGTTGAATGTGGGAGAAAGATTAGCCAGTTAACTTGCTTGTTCCTGTTCCTGTCCAGCAGTTCATAGGTACTAGTAGTATATGCTAGAATTCTTTCTGTCCTTTTCCAGGGCAGAGTGGGAACGATTAAGCCAAAGAGGGGCCCTTGGCTGGTTCTGACCAGCAGCCCACTTTTAAACTTTTTGTTGCATCTGGACTTTAAGAAACCATTCTCTCCTCTCAGCACAACTTATCTTAACAAGTTTCATGATTTGGATCTTAGAAAGCCAAGGACAGGCTATATTTAATCTCTTATTAGACTAGTTGGCTGTATTTTAAATAAAATTTATGATTCTGATGAGCCAAGACATCTATCATTTAATAGGGAAATTGGCTCCAGAATGGCTATAACTATTAGTCTAGAAGCCGTCTTCTCTTTACTATTGGGTTTATATCTACCCATATCGCCATTATTTCTAGGAAAGAAGAAAAGCTGAGGGCAGATCTTTCTTTTTTTTCCCCCATTACTGATAGATGGATATAGCCAGGCTTGTCTGTGATATTCTTTATCTAGTATTACCCCCTCCTAGTATTCTCTTAGATGGTAGTTTATAGGCATACTCTATAAAAAGGATCCTATAACCCTCACATTCAGCCATCCCTGTCCCATAGCAGGGGGAGTGGGGGAGGAAGAATGTGGGACTTGGGGAGGGGAGTTAATTAGGATAGCTAAAGTAGGTGAGATTTTCAGTAGCTGTTTCTATTTAGGAATCTGCATTTGCCACATTCATACTGCCATTCTATATTTTAATCATTATAGTTCCTATCACATAGATAGTGTTAAGTTATATGTAATGCTAAACCATGGGTTAAAGATTTCCCACTCTGTTACACACCTGTAAGCTCAGTTAGGTTACAGGCTCAGACAGCCAATTTGCCTAATGTGAATGAGATTTTAGCTTGCTGGCTTCATACACTTGTAGTTAGTAAACACTTCAACTTTATTATTATTGATGAAATTGACTTCTTGCTTCATTTGATGCTGAATTTTACTTACCTGAAATCAATAGGTTGCATTAGCAGTACCAAGGGACAAAGGGGTCCCTGTGTTGTGGCAATTAGAAGAGACTGGAAAGGCCCAATTCAGTATTGATTAAATATACACACAGCACAGTGCTGCTGTGATCCTAGACTCACGTCTTTTAACCCTTGGTAGACTAGACAGATTCAGCACCTTGACAAGCTTCTCTTTTAACCTAATGTCTTCATTAGGTAAACTGTGTTCTATGCCCCACGAGACCCAATCTGATCATCTAAGTGAAGCTACCATTTCATTTCCTATCAGCTCAATCGAACTGTTTTCATTTGACAGCCAGCTCAATCCTCTGGGGAATTCATGGGTGATTTAAGTAATAACAGCAAGGACATCAATTTTATAGTAATAGTGCCTTGTATTTTCTCCAGCACCTCTCCCCAAGGAGCATAAAGCACTTGATAGACTTTCTTCCATCCATTCACACAACATTCCTGTGAGGTAGGGCCAAGGCAGAGATTATTATCACTATTTTACAGATGGGAAAACTGAAGAAAGGGACCAGTCTAAAGTCCCATAGTAAATAGTAATATAGCTGAGATTAATTTCCTGGCTTTGCCCACTAGATCATGCTTCTTTTAAACACAAACACACACAACCAAATTGCAGTGAGGTTGACAGTTTTACAGATAGAGAGGAATCAAGGATAACAGAGAAACAACTGCACAAGTGTCAGCACTAAGCTATAACAAAATGACCAACTCAGAGATAAAACATTAAAGCAGCCGTTTCCACTTTCCCCACAGAAATCAAAGGAATGAGCAATGTCCTGAACTTGCTGTTACATTCAGGGGGTGGGAAATCTAGAAAGTCTTAAGAGGTGCAGAGAGCAGGCCATTGGAAAGAGGCTTGGCTAGCAGTATAGGAAATGGCCCGGCAGGTGGCAGCAGAAAGCACAATTATAAACGGACAGAAACGTCCAGAGGATCCCCACCCCAATGGAGGGGTGGCTCTTCCCACCCCCCTCCCCCCTTTAACAGGAAGAGCATTGGGAAGGCAGTGATCAATCTGTGATGTTGCCAAGGGAGAGGCTTGGATGTAGCCTGGGTACTTGGTGTGTTTGACATAGAGAGAACTATTTGTGGTATGGATTGAGGAATGGTGAGCCCCAGAGCCTGGGAAGGTGTGGATCCCACCCTGAGCCTCAGGGACCACTCCTTGAGACCTGCCCAGGGAACTGTTCTGGATGGTCTGTAGCTCACTTTCCCCCACCCCCCTCTTCCCACAGGGTAGCAGCCAGCATGTGCCCGAATGAACAACTTCCTATAAGGAAATGATCTGTTGTGAAGGGCTGCTTTGGCCTGGTTCTGGTGCCCAACCCCATGGGCAGGTGTACTGGCAGAAGATTCCTGTTCACTCCTGTCTACTATCCCTAGACCATCCCAGAAGGACCAGAGCCCTTGGCAGCCTCCAAGAAGATTCAGAAGACATAGAACGGATTTTTCTTGATGTCCTCAGTGCCTAACAGTGCCTTGAACATATAGTAGGCATTTAATATATTTTTGTTGAATTAAACTTAATTGAATGAAAGGGTAAATAGGA